GCAGGCTCGCTCAAGCCGCAGATCCTGCTGCGGAGGCCAGATCAAGCCAGTCAGAGCGCCTTATTATGGATCTCTCGTTCCAATTGTTCCATCGTGCATTGGGCGCCTTCAGTCCTGTGTTTTCGCCCTTCGCGGTCTGCTTACGTCCGGTGCTGCGGGAGTGTGACGACGGCCATTGTTTGCAGGGAATCCCGAGCCTCTGGGCTTCGCAGGCTCTCTGCATAGCTCTGCCTCCACCGGGACGCCAATTACAAGAGCACTTTCGCCGCGCACCGGAGAACTTCTGCTGGGCGAAGTCGAGCACGAAGTGGGGCCGCACGCTGGCCGGGCCGGACATCACGGCCAGAGAGGCTTTCGTCATGCCGGCTTCTCTGAGGGTGGCATGAAGGACTCTAGGGAGACCTGCACATTCTGGCTCGGCTGACCGTCTCTCCATGCCTCTCTGTCTTTCGCTTTCCTTATGTCTTTGTCGGTCGTTGTAGCTCTCGGGAGCTTACTGAGAGGCACCTGGCCAGCTTGGACTCGAGCTGCTGCATCGATGTGCAGCTCAGCCGATCGGAAGAGAGGAACATCTGGCACCTGGCAGAATTAGGGCTGCCTCGTAACCCCAGACAAACTGGACAGCAGAATTGCTGCTTACTGGACGTCTCAGCTCAGAACATCCCCAGGTCGTAGCAGAAGCTCGATCTCTGTGCATCCGAGAATAACACCTCCAGATCCACCCCATTCGCCATGGAGCTTTCTTGCCATCTCTGCAAAGAATCCTCAGGGTGCCACCCCTCCTGTTAGTCTATGGCCCTATGGCAAACCGGAAGTTTTGGGCGGTGCCCAGGAAGCAAATTTGCACTGTTGGCCCAGGCTTCTGCTTCACCTTTCCTTCCTCTGATATCGTGGTCCCCAAGCACAGAGAGATTTCTCGAAGGGCAGCTGAGAGGCTTCTGGATTCATCCGTAAATTTGTCGAAGCTCAGCTCGTCGCAGATGATCTTGTAACATCGCTGCCTTGGCTTCGGCCCAGCACTGAAAGCGTCTCACACGCCACATGGCGTCCTAGCAGAATCGAACAAGCCATCAAACTTCAATGATGTGTTTGCCATACCCGAAGCTCAGCAAGAATCAAAGCAAGCGTCCGATCCTCCTCCGCAGGCGGCACTACCACCTCCACGCCGTGAAGGGCCAGCCGCTCCTGGGAAGCTGCCAAGGGGTCGGGTCTTTGGGCCTTTCCGGTCCTCTGCGGGCGCGCCTTCAGCCAGGAGCCATCCCGCATCGTCGGCTCGGTGCCCAGAAGGCCTGGAGCAGAGCTGCCCATGAAAAGTGAGAAGGAGACGAAGGTGAAGAACGGATCCAAGGCGCTAACTTCTTGGACCCCAAGGCCCTAAAGAAGGGTCCCGTCCCAACAGTTTGTGTTTCCAGCCTACGGGCCCGGCGCCGCGAGCCGCTGCTGCGGTACAGTCGGCGATGTGGAGAACCTGGAGCTACCCCGGTCCGGTCCCTCGGAACTGGCTAGCAGATCGCAGCGGCAAGTACAGGAGCTCCTCCATCCTATTCGCTACTACTTGCTACTACAGTTATTTGGTCTGCAGCTGCACCACCACGACGACGACGACTGCTACCAAGATACTGTTAGATCTGCTGCTGCTGCTGCTGCTGCTGCTGCTGCTTCTACTAATACTGCCACTCCTCTTGCCGTTTTTCAAGACGGTGCCGAAGAAAATTACAGCAGTAACTTTTAAGGAACTTTAAGGCAAGGGCCCTGTGAGGAAGGAACATCCCTATCACTTTGACGAGAACAAACTTCCACAGGAAGCCCAGTACTCTTGGCCAAGACACCGGAAGATCCGGAAATCGTTCACGTACAAGGCCTTGCACAACGGAACACTAGACCAGGCTGCTTGGGGCCATTCTTGCAGAACTACCATTGGCCACCGAGCAAAGCACCCTCCAACCCTGCAGAGGCTCCCAAGACAATAAATGCCCAAAGCCAGATTCGCAGGTGAAGTGAGACCGAAAGAGGCCGAAATAGGACGAGGGGCCCACGCAAATGTGCGCTGTGTTGGAAGCGATCACCAGGAAGTCAACCCCTGCCCGATGCAGCTTGGCCACGCCATTGGCCAAGTAGTCCTCTCGGGGGGCATATGGGGTCTTGGGGGGAGGGGGAAGGGGGTGCGGGGCGGGACAGGGTGGGGTCAAAATCCTACCATCTCGCTCCTGCACGCCCTCCGAGTCCTTCGCTGTCAACAACCGCACATACTCGTCACCTGGGCGCATGTCTCAAGGAATTGATGTTTCTCACTCGGATATCAGTACACGAGCATGTGCTACCACCCAATGCAAAAAGGTAATGTTGGTCTGGAAGCGACAAACAACATCATCAGCGCACAGTGCTTCGCTTGGCACGTCGCAGAACACAAGATATTCCAACTGGGCGAGTCAGTCACGACTCACAAGTCTTGCGAGCGCAAGAAGCTTTGCTGCGTCATGGATTCAACAGGGCCACCATGGAAAACGGGAAGTTACAGAGACAGAGTATTACAGATTTTGAGCAGCCAAAAAAAATCCAAGTCCAGATTAATTAGCTAGCTGGAAATCAGAATTAGCAAGAGGGGCATGCTGGAAAGCGCTGGCAGTAGTCTCTCGTGAGCGATCAGTGCCACCCGCACTGACAACCAGCCCTCGCACGTGATTGCTGCATTCAGACCTCGTTCTGTCGTACGGCGGACCACAGAGCTTGAGCTCTGGGACTGGGGTCTGAGCGTGCTGCTGGGTCTGCTGGCTTGCGCGCGCTTGGGCGAAGATTGCACTGCAGTCCGGTCATGGAAGCCTGTCACCGGCTCACCGAGGCAGCCGAGGCCGAGGCAGTCAACGGATACGATGACCATGTCAGAGTTTTTTGCCATGATGTGGCCATTCGGCAGCAACTTCGCGATGCGCTCATTGATCCCTGGAACACAAGAGACATCTGAAGTGTCGCTTGAGTCGAGTGAGGCTCTGCCTCTGTAGTAGTCGATGCCAGACTGTTAGAAAACGGAGCGTTCCTTAACT